TTGATATGATCACATACCAATACTGTATATCGTATGCGCACTTGATAAGATCACATACCAATACTGTATATCGTATGCGCACTTGATATGATCACTACCAATACTGTATATCATATGCGCACTTGATATGATCACATTCCAATACTGTATATCGTATGCGCACTTGATATGATCATATACCAATACTGTATATCGTATGCGTACATGATAATATCACATACCAATACTGTATATCGTATGCGCATTTGATATGACCAAATACCAATACTATATATCGTATGCGCACTGACATGATCACATATCAATCGATACTGTATATCGCATACGCACTTGATATGATCACATACCAATACTGTATATCTATGCGCATTTGATATGACCAAATACCAATACTGTATATCGTATGCGCACTTGAAATGAGCACAAACCAACACTACATATCATATGCGCAAACTTGATAAAAACACATAATAATGTATATCGTATGCGCACTTGAAATGAGCACAAACCAACACTACATATCATATGCGCAAACTTGATAAAAACACATAATAATGTATAGCATATGCGCATCTTTTCCTACAACGATACCGCGGGATATATCGCCCAAATGTCCCTAATCCTAATTTCAAGTTTGTTTTAGGATCATGAGTATTTACATTGTCGTTCGCGCACTTTTATCCAAGCTCTTCATTTTCTGAATTCCAGGTTCTATTTCCTGTTTGTCAGGTAAATTGATCAAGCCTTCTTAACCTCACTTTGTTTGTATTTTGTTTTGGTTTTATTTTACCACATTGTAAGACTTATCTCGCCATACTGGGAGTCCCAGCGATAAAAAGCCTGAATGAAGCCTTTGCTGATTTGTAACTGGCACCTCCATCGACCAGTCTGACTCAAACTTGTTGTTACATAGGTAAAGGATTCAGATTCAAGGCGATTTTCTTCTTTAAACTTGTAAATTTTGTGGCCGGTTTCGTTCGGTAAGTATACAACTCTTCTGCGGTGGCTACAGTGAAGACGAAAATATAGCGTGACGGAGTCCTCGTTAACCCAATCGCCTGTCAATCAAATAAGTAGAAATTAGTTTAACGAATAGGTCGTCTGCATGATGGCGACATTTTACTACCACTATGCCAAAATGGCTTGGCGAATTTTCTTTCTTATTCAAATTTGTATTCCCTAATGAGAATAGTAAGACAATTGGTGCTAATTAACTGAACAAAAGAAAGTGTGCAAGGGAGTCTGGTAGTGGAAGTAAACGACGCCATTATGCAAATGTTCTATAGGTTGATTTTGAAGCTATTCTCACTGCATACATAATTGGCGTGTCACGTAGGAATTTAGCAACCCCCCATTTATGGACATGGGAGTTTGCGCAGTGCAGGTGTAATGCTTTGCGACCCCTCCACCCAGATCCTTGAACCATTCCGTCGGAAGCTGCCTAAGGAGAGAGTAGAAGATTCGCCTCACCCACCTCCCCTGGTGGCGGTTGACGACGCATCGCATGCTCATTGCCAGCAGTCGCGGTCACCTTCCATATCTTATTCCCGTAACTCGGTAATAAAATACGATAAAAAATTGTAAATAATAAGAGTCAGCAGAGCACAGTCAGCCCAACCTCGACTTTCAACATTTGTCGCCTCGTTTGAGAGCAGCTCATTGCTTACTATCAATCACGTGACTTTTTGGAGTTGACTGGGGGGCAAACAAGCGGCTGACTGAGGGGCAACTAGCGGATGCTAAGTCAAAACATGTCAAAATAAGTCCTCAAACTATTGTATTTGACTATTTTCACGACATCAAACCAGAAAACAAGAGATCAAAACAACCTCCAGGATTCTACAAGCCATTAAAAAAGAGCTATTACCGGAAGTGACGTCTATTGATAGCAACCTATTGGCAAAAGTCAACTATTATAGTGTAAAGAATGTTCAACTTGAACAAATCAATGTTTTTAAAACTCACGGACACGGACATGGTATCAATGAATGGCTAGTTCAGGAACAGCCTATATAAACGAGCTTGAGTTTATCAACAACAGTGGTATGCATCGGATGACATAGGACCATTAAATTGCATAAGGAGCTTTTTTATAGTCACTAAAGGTAGTAAAGCTATAACAGAAATTTAGATATTATGGCTCAGTTAATGTTAACGGAGATTGGGCTAGCTGTGGTGAAAGCAAAGAAATACCTCCAACATGTAGTATATAGGTAACCGGGTCCAAAACCTTCATATGAAATTCACCAATGGCTGTTGGCACGTTCTGGAATCCTAACATGTGCTTGTGCGAGATCCAAAACCCCGAATTGATAAAGAACATCTGAGTTGGGACATTTCTTTCACATTTGCAGGATCTTGATACTCGGCCTGGAGGACCTCGTAGTCCCGGGGTACCCGGTTTTCCCTGCTCACCCGGTTTACCGGGCGTACCAGCTGGACCTATATGACCCATCGGTCCTCTTGGTCCTTCCTTCCCCCTCCAACCGGGTACTCCATCTGTTCCATTTCTACCGTTTATCCCCGGAAATCCTCGGCGACCTCTCCGTCCTTCTGTTCCAGGATCGCCTTTTGTGCCCTTGGAACCAGGTATTCCATTCAGCCCATTTTGTCCAGGAGGTCCGCTTGGTCCCGGAGGACCGGGCCGTCCAGGTATACCTTGAAAAAAAATCAATATAATGATAGTCTGGTTAATTTGTATTTTAAATTTGTTACTTGAACGTCCGTCCGTCTGTCTGTCTGTCTGTTTTTTTTGTAATATATCATCAAATAGTTCATACCGTTTGTACCAGGTACTCCATTTATTCCAGCCTAAAGTGAAACAAAACAAAACATCAAATATTGTGCAGTGAGCTTACAAAACTATTAACTACCGTATTCCCCCCCCCCCCCCCTTTAATAAGAACCCCCTTATAGAAATACGCCCCCAGTCTAAAAGCATTGAAAAATAACAAGCCCCCAGGGGGCTTAGTAAAATAGGAAATACGGTACGTTGATAGTCTAAAATTACGTTACCAGAATGATAAAAAATGGAGGCGTGCATCGTCATCTTAAAGAATACTAGATTTTTCAAATTTCGCCCACTAAGCCTTGTATGATCTGAAATGTTCTTGAAATCGAAGCTTTTCTATTGTACGTTTGTTCAACAAAGTTCTAAATTCAATGGTATAACGGCATATCTATTGCATTGAAGATGTTCTACAGTTTTCGTGACCTTTCATATTTCACTAACTCATCATTCTTAAAAACAAACTGCTATAGATCAGTATGTACTACATCTGGCTGTCCGTTCATTAGAATGATGAGTTAGCAAACAACAACAACAACGACATCTTTATTTAGCACTCCTTAAATTTACGTTATAGCTTTAGCTTGTGAAGAGAGAAAGAATATGTGGATATGGGCGCCATGTAGCCATTTAGAAATAGCAGAGCTAATCGAGCTAAAGCGGAAATTAAATTAGAAAAGTTGAAGTACAAAACAATATACATGATTATATGACAAGACAGGCTATGAGAAAAGAAAAACAAAAACCTAAAAACAAAAAACAAAACAACACAAAAAAACAAAAAATAAAACAAAACAAAAACAAAACAAACACACACACACCAAAGGAAAAACTAGAGAAAAATGAATTATAAATTAGAGGAGAATTGGTTCTCTTCTTCTACGTCATGCATGTTCCGAAGAAACCTTTGCAACGCGAACCGTAAAAAAATGAATAGTATGATTACAACACACCAAAGCCTCGGATCTACTTTCTAAGGTATTTTTGGTTATGGTAAAAGCGTAACACAACTAAATTCTTTAAATACTTCTGTGATGTTACGATATTCACAGAGGTATCTTCTGATTGGTTAGCTACTGTCAGACCATCGCCGAGGCAGCGTTCGCGTATTCTAAACACTACGAAAAGTTAATATGAAGAAGAAAATGTTCAAACGTAGTGGTCAACAGCAAAGTTTGTATAAACTTTAGTAAATATATGGAGCTTTGTTATCAAATGTCGGCTGGTGAGTATTTCATTGTTTGAGAAAAAGTAATTCAAGTCGGCGAATGTTTCCTTTACTGCGATGACTGAGTCCAGTAAACTGAGATTGACAATCCGTAATCGCTTGATTCTAGTCAAATTACTTAATGTCCTTTATATTTTTGAAGCTTTTTTTAAGTCGACTTGATCTGATTAAATAATCCTACTTTGTCGGTGAAGCTTTAGTCTTGTAATTCTACAGCTTTGGTATCCTTAAAAACCAAACTGGCGACGACCGTCTCTTGATTACAACTCGGAATGTTCAGTCATTAAGTTTTTATTTTCTGCATGAAGTCTTTGCGTATGTAGTTGTTCAAATGTAAAAGGTGCTACCGAATATTCTAGTACGGCTATTAAGAAAAATTCTATTCTATTTTTGGAATACATTAGCAGCTGTGTCTTGAAAAACAATTTAGCATAGACAAAAGGCCGCAAAAAACACAGCTTCGGATTTACACCATTCCCGCGTATCATATTCAATAGTTTATTGATTTAGGAGATTACTATTATAAGTTATCAGTCTTATCAGTACTTGTATCTATATGGCCAGAGATTGTTATCTAGCAAGTTATATTCGTTCTGCTATCTGAAACCAAAGTCAATATCCGTACAAAAGTTTGCCCGAAGCATTTATTTATTTATTCTAATGTTAAGCTAAACAACCACAATTTTAGAAGTAATATGAAAGTTCAAGGCGGTAGTGGTAGTAAATTACACAAGGCAAGTTTGTCGTATCTATCGATCACGTGAGTATAGCTGCACACTGATTGGATTAGCTTCACGACAAAAATGGAAAGTTATTTTAGTAGATTTATCTCATTCCCATGATAAGCTTTTCCCTACTTTTTATGAAATTTTTTATATTGTTAGTAAGATTAACGTGTTAATGCTTCCTGGAATTCAAAAAATGGTTTCTTCATCATTTTAATAAAACTAAGTTGTTCCAAATTCCGATCCACGAATTCATTTTCATCACAGATTTGCGAAACACGCCTCACGCTACGAATGTAATCTCTGTCACTTGACTTCATAATCTCTGAACAAAATTAATTGTCGTCCAGAAGTTGTTATTCTAAGCTTCCAAAGCCTCACAATAAGCCGCCTGCAAGAGAATCTATTCTAGCATCTCAACTCAACGATGTCGAACAGCTAGAACTGTTCTAGCCAAACATGTATTTTGTATCTATTGTTGAGAGTATCTCACTTTACAACAGTATAGTCTTAAGAGCGAATGTCTGTAAGGGTCGAGAATCGCCGGACAAAACCAAAAAATCAAATTCCATTTTATTTTACCAAAAGATACCTTTGGGTGGGTAGTCTTCGAAATGCATGTCCAAAAAGTCTGGCGATTTTTATTTTTTTCAAAATTCGCGAAAGTTGAAAAGAAC